TAAGAATTTTCTGAACGTAAATAGGAAAAATGTTGTTTTGAAGCGCTTTTATCATCGCGTCCATTCGTTTTTGTTAGAGATCCAATGGACCGAGTAGTGTGATGTTGTAATTGCTGTGCATGAGATTAAATATGATTAAAAATAGCAAACTCACCGAAAAAAAAACTGAATGTCATCGCTTTCGTTTATGTGGTACCTTGCCAATCTCAGCGATGGGACTCACCCTTAGAATAATAAGAACGTGAAAAGAGAGAAAAAGTCTTTATGAACTCTAGCTGCAAGAAAGCTGCATTGACATGAGTGCGCTTAATCTCTGCAAAGCTTTCCGTGATCTCCAACCTAAGATCATCCTCACTAAAATTAAGCCACTAGCTATTAATATTCTACACATCCTAATGATAGTCTTGTCAAAATTTCAGATTGATTTTCAAATGCCGATTTCAGTGTGCAGAAAAGTTGAGATGCAATCTTTGAAACAAATTCTTAACCTAATTTCTACCAACTTTAAGGCTACAATCCACGACAGATATGCTAATCCCAGGAGGTGAAGCACTGCGTAGTCCTTCTTCCAGTCCGCATGTATCAATGAGGTGCGCTTACCACATAATTACAGGTTGTTACAGGGATAAGGGCTACTTATCCTTTAGAAACCGCGCCAATTTGGGGACGAACATGCGTGACAATTGGGATTCAAATGATGTGAAGAGTCGCAATTCACGTCGTGATCATCGAATGTCTGTACCAAATCTATCACCAGAGCCTTCAAGTGCAGTAGTTCAATCAGCTAAAGCGCTTAGGGAAAAACTAGGAAGAAATGGGGATGGAGAGTTGTCGGTAAGAAATAGAAAGTTTAGAAAATGCTTAAAAAACGAGAAAAAATCCTTTTTCCAGACTATTAACGAGGGTTTGATAACCCCTGTTATCCGTCGAAAGCAGTTCAATCAACCTACAGCGTTAACTTGTAATGTGAACCGAGGAATAACATCGAATCAGGGCTCTGGGCATCCTATAAATGCCATAGGAAATCA